GGGCGGTTGGTTACACAGGGGCTGCAGCAGCGGTTTGTGCTCCTGCTGCCTTTCCTGCACCTCAACCTCCAGTAGCCTCAGCATTGCTTCCTGCCACCTCTCATCATGCTGACGCCACCTCTCCTCTTGCTCCCGCCACCTGTCCTCTCGCGTGTCTCTCCTGTCCTCACATTCATTTTGTTCTTTCCTGCACTCTGACATTGTCTGCCTCCACGCATTCTGCGGGGCTCTTTCAGTGTGGGAGGACTGCATGAGCTCAGAGAACATTTCATTGTGAGTGCGGGTTTTTTTCGCCTTCTAATCTTCACTAGCCTCTGGGACAGAGATGATAGGGGGAGCGTTGAAACATTTGCAGCTGTGGGAGGAAAAAAAGGGAGAGTAGTATTTAAAAAGACAAATTCTAGAGAACAATGGGTAGACTCTTTAACGGTGAACCAAGCTGTTAACATTACATAGCATGTGTGCTTTCTTTACAAGGTCGTATTTTGCCTCTTATATTGAGGGCCTGTGGGTTTGGTGTGAAAGATCACACACGCAGGGCCAGCAGGCAACAGAATTTGGCTTGCAGGCAGCTATGGTAAGCCACAGTCTTTTGGCTTCTTTAACCTTCATAACATGTGGGAATGGTTTCAAACAGCAGCGCCCTCATTTCCCATTTAAAATGGGTTGGCCATTTAAAATGGGTTGACCATTTAAAAGGAGGGGTTGCGGTTTTTGGGTTAATGTGCAGCACAAATCCAACTTAACCCCCCTCACACACACACACACACAATTCTCTGGGATGATCACTTCACCACTCCCCCCACTGCGTGGCTAACATTGGGGTGATTTCTGTTCAGCCACAGGCAAAGAGCCCAGCGGGAACAGCCACCTCTGAATGTCCCCTTAACAAAATTCCCCTATTTCAACCAGGTGACCATGAATGATATTGCTCTCCTGAGGATAACACAGAGCGATAAAGAACAGATGTTGCTTGAATGACAGTAAATACTAGGACCATATGCTGCCATGCTTTGTTATGCAATGATTCCAGACTACGTGCTACTGGCCTGGCATGGTAAAGTGTCCTACCATGGCGGACGGGATAAGGCAGCCCTCCCCAGAAACGTTTTGCAAAGGCTTTGGGAGTACATCCAGGAGAGCTTCATGGAGATGTCCCTGGAGGATTTCCGCTCCATCCCCAGACACGTTAACAGACTTTTCCAGTAGCTGTACTGGCTGCGAATGCATCCCAAGTCTTCAGGGCAAACTAATCATTAAACACACTTGCTTTTAAACCATGTATTATATTTACAAAGGTACACTCACCAGAGGTCCCTTCTCTGCCTTCAAGGTCCTGGAGCCCGCCTTGGGTGGATTAGGAGGGGTCTGGATCCAGGGTGAGAAACAGTTCCTGGCTGTCGGGGAAAACGGTTTCTCCGCTTGCTTGCTGTGCGTTATCTTCAACCTCCTCCTCATCATCATCTTCCTCGTCCCCAAAATCCGCATCCCTGTTGCGTGAGAATCCATTGACGGAGTCCACACGCAGGGGTGGGGTAGTTGTAGAGACACCCCCTAGAATGGCATGCAGCTCATCATAGAAGCAGCATGTCTGGGGCTCTGACCCAGAGCGGCCGTTTGCCTCTCCGGTTCTTTGGTAGGGCTTGCCTCAGTACCTTAAGTTTCATAAGGCACTGCTGCAGGTCCCTGTTATAGCCTCTGTCCTTCATGCCCTTGGAGATTTTTTCAAATATTCCAGCATTTCATCTTTTGGAACAGAGTTCTGATAGCACGGATTCCTCTCCCCATACAGTGATCAGATCCAGTACCTCCCGTTCAGTCCATGCTGGAGCTCTTTTGCCATTCTGTGACTCCATGGTCACCTCTGGTGATGAGATCTTCATGATCACCTCTGAGCTCGCCACACTGGCCAAACAGGAAATGAAATTCAAAGGTTTGCGGGGCTTTTCCTGTCTACATGGCCAGTACATCTGAGTTGAGAGTGCTGTCCAGAGCAGTCACAATGGAGCACTCTGGGATAGCTCCCAGAGGCCAATACCATCGAATTGCATCCACACTACCCCAAATTTGACCCAGTGAGGTTGATTTCAGAGCTAATCCCCTTGTCAGGGAGATGTACCAAAATCGATTTTAAGAGCCCTTTAAGTCAACAAAAATGGCTTTGTCGTGTGGACAGGTGCAGGGTTAAATCAATCTAATGCTGCTAAATTCGACCTAAACTCATAGTATAGACCAGGGCTTTGTGTTCTCTGCAGACTTTGCCAGCAACAATTTTACATGAACTTCCAGATCATTGATACAGATACTGAATAACCTCAGGCCCAGAACAGACCTTTGCGGGGCACACCAGCAATACCCCAGTGGATGCTGATTCCCCATTCAGAATCATATTTTGAGGAGAATCAGTTAGCCCAGTTTGAGCCATGTTGAGTGTTTAGAGAGCTAATTTCTCAATTTGAATGCTGTGTGGTATTTGGGCAAACTCCCTATGGGAATCCACATATATATCACATCAGCACAATCACCTTAATGAACCAGACTTTTAATGTTGCTCAGAAATGACAGCATGGTCATTGAACATGGACTGTTCTCCATGAACTCACGTTGACTGGCATTAACTCTGTTTCCATCTTTTAGTATCTGCCTATTGATAGATCCAATCTCAGCTCTTCCATTATTTGGCTCTGGATCCCTCTCTTGGAACTGGTATATCTGATGGATGAGATGTGGGATCTGTCCATCCAGATATCAGTGTCACTATCTAGAACAATTCCAGAACCTCTCTAGATACATTCAAAATCAATATACATGCATGAATACCCAATTAACTCCATTTAAATTCATGCTAGATTCACTTCAGTTGATGCTGTTTCATTTTAGATCTATCCAAACCCACATAGCTACCCGTAGATCCCTTCTAGATCAATGCACACTCCTGTACATCCATTCTAGATCCAGCTCCCACCCTACCAGTACTGGACCCACCCGCTGTCTGTACCCTACTGGTAGCTACAGTAGGGGTCACCGACCTGACTCAGGGCCAGCAGAGAGGTTGGCTGGGAGTATCCATGTCTGGTCTCTGAAAAGGTGGGATGCAGGAGTGACTGGACCAGTGATGCTCCTGGTTCTTTGTGTGTGACTCTCCATAGGGGGACAACACCTCCCCTGACAGGCCAGGGACCCCGTGGACAGGGGATGGGACTGAGCCCTCTTGGGGGTTGATAAACTCAATGACGGTGTCACTTTGGGTGTCACTTACACAATGTCCGGGGTGGGGCACTGGTATCAGGGTGATCAAAGCCACCTGCCTCTATCTCACACACAAGGGGACAGAGATGTGTTTTCTCACCCAGCTCCAATACAGATTAGTGTTACCCACAGCCCACGTAAAAAGGAGAGCTGGGGAAGGGAAGAAATTTATGCTTGGAACAGTGACAGCAGCACAGAGATGCCCTAGAGGGGAAGTGTCCCACGTCTCATTTTGCACCCCCTGAACCAGCCAGTCCCCTGCCATGAGGCTGTATCAGAGCTAGCCCAGCCCCAAGGGGAAAGGCCCGAAGTCCATTCCCCATTCCCCCAAACCAGCCTGTCCCCCATCCCAGGGCTGGTATTAGTCTCACCAATGCTGCATAGAGAGGCAAAATCCCCTCCCTGCTTCTGTGCCCCTGTTTTTACAGTCCAGACTCTGGGCAGTTTTGCCCCAGCAGTGCATGGGGAGCTCATGGTGTTGCTTGTTCACTGTAAGCCCTCCTAGGTCCTTTGTGGAGCCCCAGTTCTCCAGGACACAGTCCCGGATCTCGGGAGGTGTCCGTGTCCCTGGGGCTGAGATGGAGAACACTGCATTGGCTGGATTCTGACCACTGGGGTGTGACTGGGCCCAGCTCACTGCTTGCTCCCTGTACCTGCCATGGTTTGTCAGCATTTACTGCACTGCCCGGTGCTGTGACACCTGCAGGTCTGATGGTAACTTGAGCTGGGACCCTGAAGTGACTCTGGTTTCTGGCATCCAACCTGAGACATTGAGCATGTCCAGGACTGTCAGATTATCAGGGCTGCATTGTGCTGGCAGCTGTACAGTGTTTATTAGGTGTATTATGGTAGCACCTGGAAGACCCAGTCATGGCAAAGGATCCCATTGCCACTGCACATGACTTGTTAGCTGTATTACAGTAGCACCTAGGTGGACTCCCAGCTATGGCCCAGGACCCCACCGTGCCAGGTGCTGTACAAACACAAATCACAGCAATGGCCCCTGTCCACAGTTGCTCACAGTCTAGGTATAGGGCAGGTGAAAACACATGGCTACAGACAGGCTGACGGGGAAGAACGAGGGGAACAATGAGATGACACTAACAGGCATCGGTAGATGGTGTCCCAGTCTGAGACATCTCTTCCCAGAGCATCAGAGCCGCGTCCAGGCCGTGGATCCCTGCTGCACTGGGCTAGGTTTATGATGCATTTTCTTTGCAGGGAAGCAGTTGCAAACAGCAATGGAGTTCACCCCCTGCCTGAATAGCCCCTGGTTAGTGTCAGTCAGGCTGGGGAGACACACAGAGGCTCCTTGGTAGCAGGCCTTGGCATCTGGGCTGAGATGTCTGATGGAGGGGACTGGCCTGCCTGCTGTTTGTGACCCCTCTGTCCCCAGACAGGTGCAGAGTGGAAGAGGAATGACATACAAGGGAAATTAAGAATACCCTGGTACCGATTTCTCTTCCAGTGGGCCTAAAGTGCACTCCTGTTGGCAGGGAGCTGGCCTAGGTGTTAGTGGTGGGATACCAGAGTCAGGAGAGCTGATAACACACACAGTGATTTGCTTTTTCATTTGTGATTTTCCTTGTCTTTCTAGCAGATCCAGCATGAATTACTCAAACTCAGGGGGTAAATTCCCCACCAGGTCCAAAACCCTGGTTACACCTGCTAGGTACAAGTTAGCTGGGAGTCCGAGGCTGGGGGCATTCATTCAATTACCAGGAAGGCACCACTTCATTGTTTTGCAACTTCATTTTTATTCATTGCTGGGTAAGAAGCAGCGAGCAAAATGCACCAGGCCGCGAGGCAAGGCAGGGCAGCGGAGGTTAGAGGGAGGCGCTCAGAGCTGTCATTTCAGCTTAAATCAATTCAGTGCATAATTTCCTAATTTCCCTTCCCATGAACAAACTCCCACTCTCCTTGTCGGCGCTGGGAACAGGTGTCTTTGGAATGGGCGGTGGCTACCCCGGTGGAAATAACATGTGGAAAAGGCCCAGTGAGGACAGGGCAGGCTGTAGTTTTAACAGGAGTTAGCAGGCCAGTTAATGACAAGGATCTCCCATAAAGGGTCACTCGACTGGTTGATATGGGGGAGAGCTACAAACTGCCGTGTCTGTTCCAGGGTTTGGCCTGTGTCCGTTACCCCGGGGAAAATAAACCAGCTGTTTCCTGAGCGAAGACGCAGCCTAAGGGCCTGGGTTGGGATTGCCAAGGGAGCTGTGGGAGTTGGAATTGAACATAGCTCCTAACTCCCCGAGACTCCCTGTCTTTATACTCATGGGTTGGGCACTGCCTGAGAGGAGCGATGTCTGGGGTGGGGGAGATCAGCCTGGGGGGACTTAGCCCTCTGCAAAGCAGCCGCTTCATCTGGGCCATGCAAAGAACAGAACCGATGCAGCTCCTGCCCCTGCAGCAATTCCCATCGGGCTCAGGACTGCAGCCTCCTCATCGTCCTCCGTATCCAGGGAATGAAGGTGGAGACTCTCACGTAGACCCTTGGGGGGCGCCCATTGACAGGCCCCCAAGAGACGACGCCCTGAGCTGTTTTCCCACACACCAGGGGGCCCCCAGAGTCACCCTGCGAAACAAAGCAAGCCACAGATGAAGAAATGCTCAGTGAGTCATTTCCCGCCGTTCTTCAAACACTGATGGACACATTAGTGACACCCCCCTGCTATCCACATGGTCTCTGCTTGTGCCCCCCACAGCCCAGCCTGTCTCAACAACCACTCAACTCCTCCCAGTTGATCCCCCCCCCCGAGAGAAGATCAGATATTTTCCCATTGGTTTGTACAGCACTTAGAGCAGCAGGACCTGATCTCTGATCTTTGCTTATAGGCCCAACCGCCACACCAGAAGCCTCATTAATAATAACGATTTATCGAAGGACACTTGGGAGTTTCACCTTGAAAGAGGATTTCTTCTCCTTTGGGTCCCCCACACACATCATCGTGCAGGAGTTATATTTACGATATATCCCACCAGGATAGTTCAGACAGGTCTCATCATCCATCACCTTCAAATCCACCTCCCGGAGCACACTGGGGCGCCTCTTCCTGAGTGCGCTGGTGCGGCCCCAGCCAGCGACACTGCACACGGTCCCTGGTCGCACTCGCCGATGAGCCGGGGGGAGACGGATGAGCCTCACCTGTTTATTGAGCTTTGCCTTGCGCCCCAGCTACAAACAAGAGAGGACACAAGCACCAGGGTCAATATGAACATCACAGCTGATTTTTTTTTAAACCAAATAATTCCAGGGGACAACTAATGAGATAACAGGGACGGGAGTCGGGTCAAAGGATCAAACGAAGGGAACCTGACGGGGACACCGAGCAGAGAACCCCAGACAATGCCCACTGCTCCTCAAAGACGTCAAGAGAGCCAGCAGTCGCCGTCCAGAAGAACTCTGTCCGGATGCATGAGAGGATGGAGGATCAGAAATAGGCCCCATGGTCACAGGAAACCCCATCAGCCAACCTCTTCTCCCTGGTTTTATAGATGACGGTTTTAGGGAGAGGCAGGAGGAGGTTGACCAGGAGGTCCCGTGACTTTGTGGGGCCATGGATGGGGAGTGCATAGACAAGGAGGTGAGGGGAAAAGTGCAGCCAGAAACACAACATAGTATTGGTGAGGAGCCGGTGTAGGGGCTGCAACCTGGCACACACCAAGTAAACATGCGCCAGAGTCTCCCTCACACCGCAGAAGGGGCAGGTGTCCAGGATGGGGGTAAACCATGCCAAGTACACGCCTGTGCTCATGACCCCATGAAAGAGCCACCAATTGATATCCCTGGCTGGCCTTGGGACCAGGGCAGAGTATAGGCTGGCCCACCGGGGCTTCTCTCCCTCTAGAGGTGGCAGGCGGTCCCGCCCCTTTGTGTCGGGGTGGGACGCGAGGGTAAGGAAGTGAAGGGTGTGGAGCACGAGCGTGTATAGGTGTTTCCTTGGTGTGGTCTGGAAACGAACCAGCTGCAAGTCGTGCAGCTGGCTCACGGTGAAGGGGCTGGGGGACCGGTTGTGTCCACGGGGCAGGGGCCCGATGAAAAGGTCCAGATGGCCTGGGGTTGAGGGTTGGCGGGGCGTGCCCTCTCGCAGGACCTGGTCAGGGTAGTCCCGAGCAGCGGGCAACAAAGCGGCCCTCACCTCCTGAAGTACGTGCTGAGGAGAACGAAGCCTACAGAGCCCCATGAGCTGAATGAGCGTCAGGGGATCCAGCCAGTATCCCCGGTCGTAGTCCAGGAGGTCTCTGACTCCGGTGACTTCTGCCAGGACCAACCTCTGGTGCACTGAGGGAGACTCCACTACCTGCACATGGAGCTGGAGGTTGTGTAGCAGGGGCTCTGCGAAGAGATCTGCTCCCTTGGTGGACCTGGTTGCCTAGAACAGCTTCCAGGTCCAGAGGAGTTCCTGGTAGAAGACCGGCAGCCCAGAGAGGTCTCACGGAAGGCCTTTCAGATTGAGATAAAGGAGCTGTTGGTCGTATCGGAGCCCTCGGAAGCGGCGCAGGAAGGCGTGCGCCAGTACTCTCCACGCTGGACTACCTGCACCATAAAGGAGCCTCTGCAGTGCCTGGAGGCAGAAGACATGGACCTGAGTGTGTAGACACTTCAGGCCCTGCCTCCCTCCTCCAGGGGTAGGTGGAGACCCCTGCAGAGACCCAGTGCAGTCCTGGCCAAAAGAACTCCAGAAGCACCATCCGGAGGTGGGCCAGGAAGCCCTGGTCTGGGACCAGGGTGTTGAGTCGGTACCAGAGCATGGACAGGACTAGTTGATTGAGCACCAGTTCCCTCCCTCAGAGGGAGAGGCACCGGAGTAGTCCTGTCCATTTCCGGAGCCGCTCTGTCACCCTACCTGTTAAACCGTACCAATTTTCCAGCGGAGACAGATGCGTGGCAGAAAGGTAAACACCAAGATAGAGCAGCGGACCCACGCTCCACCGGATGGCCTGAAGCGTAGGTGGGAGGGAGCTCACCTGCCACCTGTCCCCGACCACCAGGCCAGAGCTCTTGACCCAGTTGACCCGGGCGGAGGAGGCTGCCAAGTAGACGGCCTGGCAAGCCTCCACCCGCGCCAAGTCACCCGGGTCCTGGACCACGAGGAGCATGTCGTCGGCGTATGCCAAAAGGACCAGCCACAGTTCCAGCTCTCGGAGCACCAACCCTGTCAGCCTCCTGCAGAGGAGACAGAGGAAGGGCTTGCCAGAGCATACAGCTGGCCCAAAAGTGGGCACCCCTGCCGTACTCCTCACCCAAAGCTGACTGGTTCAGTCAGGGTCCAGTTGAGTCTGACCAGACACTCTGTGGAAGCGTACAGCACCTGGAGAAAATCCACAAACTGGGGTCTGAATCCAAACACTCGCAGAGTGCTCAGGAGGTACTCTTGGTCCACCCTGTTGAATGCTTTCTCCTGATCCAGGGACAGGAAGGCAAACGACAGACTATCCCTAAACCTGAGCTCCAAGAGGTCCTGGACCAGATACATATTATTGAATATGGTGCTGCCCGGGACAGTGTAGGTCTATTCTGGGTGGACCATGTCTGCCAGCATGGACTCTACCTGCAGCGAGTTGGCCTTGGCTATGATTTTGTAGTCCTTGCTGAGGAGCGAGATGGGATGCCAATTCCGTAAGTCGTGGAGGTCCCCCTTCCTCAGCAATAAGGCGAGCACAGCTTGCCTGCACAAAAGAAGGAGGACCCCGCTCTGCAAGGACTCGGCCCAGATGGTGACTGGGTCTGGGCCGAGGACGTCCCAGAACACGCAATAGAACTCTATGGTCAGCCCATCCATGCCCGGAGATGTATTGGTGGGCATGCGGCAGAGGGCTTCCGAGAACTCGGCCAGAATGAGAGGCAGCTCTAGCCAGTCTCAGTTGCCCACGCTGACTGTCGGGAGTCCGTCACAGAGCACTCTGCAAGCATTAGGATCGGTCGGATCCAGAGAGAAAAGGCCTGCGTAGAAGGCCCTGGCCCTCCCGCACATCTCCGCCGGATCCGTGAGCGGGGTGCCGGCCTCTGCCAGGAGGCAGGTGACGTGCTTCTTGGCCACCCTCTTTTTTTCCCCTCCAGGGCGTAGAAGAAGCGGGAGCCATGATCCATCTCCTGAAGGAGGCGGATGCGGGATCGAAAAAAGGCACCCCGGGCCTGATGGTCCTTGAGGGCCTGGAGCTCCTCCCGCTTCTCCCGGCATACTCTTCAGAGGGATGGGTCCTCAGGGCTGGCAGCCAGATGCATCTCCAGCTCTAAGACCTCCCATTCCAACTGCTCTATTTCCGCATCCCTCCGTCAGTTGGCACCCCGGGTGTAGTCATGGCAGAAGAGCCAGGCACGCACCTTCCCCATGTCCCACCACCACCGCACCAAGGAAAAGGCCAGAGCTGATGACGGGTAGAGAGAGACTCCAAGGAGAGAGACACTACAGCCAATGTATGTCCATGGAGATACTAGGGGGCGGGGTGATGGGATGGGGGCGGTACCTGCAGCAGCATGATGTCATTGTTATGTGTCTTTCTGTTGTATTGCGGATGGGGGATCCGTCGGCACACGGAGATTTTCTGTTGGCTCTGTTCCTGTTGTTTAATGTTATGGGCTCCCAGGTACACAGTGATCTTGCTGTAAAAGCCAAGAGCAATACATGGGCATTGGGGCAGTAGTGTACTGAGGTGGGGGATGGGCACATGGTCTGACATAAGTACTGATCTTATGGTGACAGGGCAGCATGAGTCTCTCAGGCAGTGATCTCAGACTCCTTTATTCCCCGTATCCCCTGGCCCTCAGCTCTCCTCCAGCCAGGCGAGCCCTCCCAGCTAGATCCAGACAGAGGTTCCCCCCACCCCAGAGGCCTGCAGAGCTGTTCTGGAGCTGTGAGTCCCTCTCTGTCCTATCTGGACAATGGGACAGACCCCAGCTGATGTCAATGGCCATAGCCCCATAGATTTACCCAGCGTTGGATCTGGACCATGGTTTTCAGAGGCCCCTAGAGACATGTCAACGCCCCCTGAGCAGATCAGACCCCCGGGCTCTCGTCTCCCGGCCTTTCCTGCTAACTGCTCCTTCCTTGCAACCCACAATGGCACCAGAGCTCCCAGCTCCCTCACCACCCGCTAACACCGACCTGCCCCAACATCCCCAGCACAGAGGCGCTTACTCTCCATTGCAGTGAGCGGCCGTCAGCACAAAGTTCTTTGCCACGAGGAACCCTCCGCAGTGAACATTCCTGCCTTCACGTCGTATACTCAGATAGGCCATGTAGGGTCTGGAGTGGGGCTTCACTTTCTTTCCCCCGATGATCTCACCTGGGGTGAGAACAGGTTCATATAAAGAGTCCCATCATCTCCCTGGCCTGGGCTGGGATCAATCTCCCCATCCCAAAGGGGAGACTCCACAACATCAACCCACCCCCTCTGATGCTCTCCTTGGGGGATCCCTGTGCCTGGAACCCTGCCCCATCCTCAACTCTGCCACACACTGGACACCCCATGTGTCTGGAGGTTAAATCTAAAGCTCTGACCTTGCTAGGTGGAGAATCAGTGCCAAACGCATTGGGAGTGGATCACTAATCGCACTGCCTTGAGGTAACGGCTTTGGGTGTCAACATCAGCTAGAACGTCACTGACATGTCCCCTGCTGATGTTTCACCTTTTCCATCAATCTCCAGTGACAAGCCGGAGCTGGTCCAAAGCTGCTCCTCCAAACTTTTTTTGCACAGAAAATCGGATTTTCTAGAAAATGAAAAGTTTCCCAGAAGGTGTCTTCTCTCCTCAAACATGCTGATATTTTTCTTGGAAAACTGATTATTTCCCCCAGTTTTTGGCACTTTTCAGCTGAAAAATTGTAAATTTTTAGTCACCAAAACAATTTTAATTTTGGTCACACTACAGACTAAGATGGAGTGGCGAGGTGTGCAAGCGAAACATGCCGCCCCCCATCTGTTTAGCTCTGCTGCCTTCGCTGCCCTTCACTCATAACTGCTTTTGTTTCTGCAAATGTTACCCAGATTGCCAGGATCGATGGCAACGTTATGCACAGCTGGCCAGCAAATTTGAACTAAACACTGATCCCCTAAAAAAGCATTTGAAGGAGAAACTAGACCAATAATTTTCTGCTAACCAAATGGAAACAAATCGTAGCCAGTTCTCTGAACTGCTCCTTGGACCTACATTTCAGATTAATTCCACAGGAATCATATGGAGGATGCATTGGACCTTCCTTCCACTGTTCAAAGCAGGTGCTGCTAAGTCAGCTGTGACTAGCATGTGCTGACTTAACACATATGCTCATAGACCGGTCGGCTTTGGGCGGAACTGAAGGGGACAGTGGGTTTTTTTTTCCTATCACAAAAAAAAATGTAACTTTCAACCTAGTGGGTGTTAACTGGAAGCAGAATAAATCAGAAAAACTTTGGCTAAGCAGGGCACTAACACCAGTGAAAAGACAATTACCACCAAAACGGAAATCCAAAAAGCAACAAACAATCGAAGATTAGAGCATAGACATCCCAAGCTTGGCTACCATGGAAAGAGCTGTAGACTGTTACAGAGCTTCCCAAGAAAAGTTGTTAGAGATATGAGATGCTCTCCTGGAAGTATCTGATGATCCAATCAAATGCATGTTCCCACCTCAACCCCCCTCTTCCCTACGCACTTCCACTCCCTGTATCTAAATTAATAAAAATTACTAGAAAAACAAATTATTTTGGGGGTTTTCAACTAAAAGTCAAAATTTCCCAGGGAAAAACTTTTCAGACCAACTCTGAACACGTCTCAGCCCAGGTTGATGAAGTCAAAGCGAGACAATCAGTGTAAAGACATCAGGGTGGAGGGGACAGGAGGGTGAAGAGCTGGTGAAGCTGAAGGACAATGTAGGCACAAGAACAAATGAGGATAAACTGGGCAGGGACAGATGTAGGTGGAAGTGAGAAGGTCTCTAACCATCAGAGGGATGCAGGACTTAGGAATTGCCAGACTGCATGGTTTGTTTTAAGCTGTGCAAATGCACGTCTTGAGGCACTTGTATGGATTGAAGGCTGGTTCTCTGAGGTTAACTGGCCCCTGGCTTTGGCCAGGTTTAAATCAATATCAGGGTAGCCACAGGCTGAGCTGAACCACAGATGTGGTTTAAAATCAGGTTAATTAAAGCAATACACGTTTGTGTGCAGCTCACATCTGAGTGCTTTAACAGACGAATCTTGGCTGTTAGTTTGATGTCCATATGAACGAGGCTGTTTGACAGTCTGGTGCTGTTATTTGCATATGGTGCCACCAACCCAGATGAGAGCCCTGTTGTGCTGGGTGCTGCACAGACCTTCAGGGAAAGTCCATCCCTTCCCTAAAGAGCTTCAATTTAAAATGACACCACAGACAAAGGAAGAAGAAGCTAGAACCCAGGAGTCGTGGCTGCCACCCTCCAGCTCCACTCTAATCACTAGACCCCACTCCAAAGCAGGGGATAGAACCCAGGTGTCTTGGCTCTTAGCCCCTACTAAAGATACCCCTGTGCCTCTCTCCTGCTCTCAGTCTCTTTGTGTAGCTCTTGGGGGCTTTATCTCAGTACCAGCTCCACCACCCAGACTCCTTCACCCCCACCTCCAAACTCTTCCCTAGCTGCGTCCTGGGAGCCAGAGATCAACCTGGCAGATGCATCTGACTCTGGGGAGGATCCAGGATTTGCAAACATCCCAGCGAGCTCCTGGCTCCACTCCCCAGGATCCCTGACCCCCCAACACTCACCAGCCCCAGCCCCGGGGGGCAGGAGAAAGGCCGCGGGCAGCAGGATCAGGATCAGCATCGTCACCATCTGGGGAAAGTGACAGTGCTTGTGACTCAGTACTGGGGGATTTATAGAGTCAGCAGCAAACCACAGATCACGTTTGCTCTCCCCTCGTGGGGAGCTGGGACCATGCAGGCGCCCTCAGAAACCTCAGCATTTCTCCACTAACACATGGGGGGCAGGAGGGAGGGAGCTGGTGGCCTCCTCTCTCTGGAGGAAGGAGCCTAGGGGAAAGTCCCTCTGGGACGGGGCATCTCTCCTCCCCTCCCCCCAGATCATATGGGAGCAGGGCCCCCTGGGGCCTGCCTGGAGCCCAGAACACCTGGTGCCGGGCTCATCTGGAGCTTGCCTGTCTCCTCTGCTCCAGCAGCTCATCTGGCGGGGAGTGTGGCCGACGCTGAGTCACCGGCTGGCTTGGCTCAGCTCCCTGCTTCTGCCCCAGTGTGCGTCTCAGAGCAGTAAGAAGGGGATGGGGGCCCTGCTGTGACTTCCTGTAGCCCAGCCACAGAGCCCACGACAGAAATTCTCCCAGAAGATGGGGAGCACGTACACCACATTGGACGTGGGGGAGCACTGATACCATGGTGATGGGTGATGGGGAAAGCCCCAAACAGACGGTGCTGGAGCCGTGTTCCTCTGGGCCTGCCCCATGGCTGGCATGGTTGAGTAAAGAGCAAACGTCCCCACACAATGGGGTGACCATTTGGGAAATGTGACCCTGGCTATCCAGACATTTGAACATCTCACACAACTAAAATTCTGGGCCCCAGAAAGTGGCTTAAAATTGACCTGAGGCTCTGGCCCCATTTCTCCATCAAGCGCCGAGCTCTCCTGATATGCCTTGGTGTATTTCGTAAAGCCCCAGCATCAGGAGTCATGGGATCACCTGTGAATTTCAGCTTCCCTTGTGGTAAATTGTATGTTTTGAACCCACAAAGCTGTGGAGAAGAGTTTGAAGACATGACCTATAAATGCTTAAAGCCCCCTGGTTTTCTCCTCATCCGAGCCACTCCCTCAGGGTTCCCTAATACTACTCAGACAGCACCCGCAGAGCATGAGAACCCCCTATTCGCTCCCAGAGGACATCCTCCAATCCCCCACGAGCAGCATCTTCATGGCCTCTCTAAGGAGGGGGCAGCACTTCTGCCTGGGCCCAGAGGGGTTGCATCCCCAGCTGTGTGGGGACAGGCAACTTCAGCGTCAGGTTCCCAGTGCATAGGTGGGTGCTAGGCTGTCCTGGGGCATGTACACCCAGCCACATGACAGGGAGAAAGACGGGCCCCCAACATCTGCAGACACTCAGCATCTTGGGCTCTGCACAGCTGGGACTGTGTCCAGTCTGGTCCGCCCTACGGGCTTAATTGACGCGGCCTCTGAAACTTGCTGTTGTGGGTTTTTTTTGTGGTGTGGATGTACCCCCACTGTCCATGACCTGGAGGGTAAAACCCTCCCATCTGTAGCAGGCTATCATCCCTGAGGCCTGACCGACAAGCTGAACATGTGAGCAAGGACATCTCCCCGTCCCCCTGGTAGTGAAAGGTGCATCCCCACGCACGGCTGTGTCACAAACAGAAACAGTTTTCAGCGTCAGACATTAGAAAGCACAAACGGAGCTGTCTGAGGGCCTCAGTCCAGAACTGGGATGGTGGGTCTGCACGTCGGAATTAAGGGTCACCAGCAGAGATGACCCATGCCTGCCCATTGTGGGGGCACAGAATGAGGGCAGCCGGTTTCAGCAGTGCTATCCAGCATGCTCAGTCCATGTTAGCATGGTCTGTATCAGCTAAGTAGCAAATCTGGGGGTGCATTTGTGGTCACATACCGCCCATTCCCTGCCTTACCGCCTGTGGCTTGCACCAGCAAGACTGTTAAATGTCTACATCTTTGTCTGCAAATTTGTTATTTCTTCACTCCCCATGGGCTGAGTCATTTCCTCCTTCTCCTGGTTCTTAGAAAACTTTCAAGACCAGCTTTGTTTTCTTGGTGTAATGTTTCATAACTCCCTGGCCCCTGGCTAGCTGGTCTCCAGATAACGGGCAATGGAGGGGAACAAAGCTCATGGGATTTCACCTCAGAAGACATTTCACAGAGTAGAATCATAGAAATATCATCCTGGAAGGGACCTTGAGAGGTCACCTGATCCATCCCCTTCTTGTGAGGCAGGACCACATCAACCTAGGCCATCCCTCACAGGTGTTTGTCCAAGCTGTGCCTAAAAACCTTCGGTGATGGGGATTCCACACCTCCCTTGGGATTCTATTCCAGAGATTAACTCTATTTAGGGTTAGCAAGTTTGTCCTATGACTAATCACAATCTCCCTTGCTGCAGATGAAACCCATTACCTGTTGTCCTATCGTCAGCAGACATGGAGAACAATTGACCCCCATACTTTTTAGAACAGCCCTTAACATATTGGAAGACTGTTCTCAGGTTCCCCTTAGCCTCCTCTTCTCTACACTAAACATACCCATTTTTTTTCATCTTTCATCCTAGGTCAGGTTTTCTAAACCTTTGACTATTTTTGTGGCTGTCCTCTGGACCCTCTCCAGTTTCTCTATATCTCTCCTAAAGTGTGGCACCCAGAACTGGACACAGTAGAATCATAGAAGATTAGGGTTGGAAGAGACCTCAGCACGTCATCTAGTCCAACCTCCTGCTCAAAGCAGGACCAACCCCAACTAAATCATTACAGCCAGAGATTTGTCAAGCCGTGCCTTAAAAACCTCTAAGGATGGAGATTCCACCACGTCCCTGGGTAACCCATTCCAGTGCTTCATCATCCTCCGAGTGAAATAGTTTTTTCCTAATATCCAACTTAGACCTCCCCTACTGAAACTTGAGACCATTGCTCCTTGTTCTGTCATCTGCCACCACTGAGAACAGCCTAGCTCCATCCTCTTTGGAACCCCCTTTCAGGTAGTTGAAGGCTGCTATCAAATGCCCCTCACACTTCTCTTCTGCAGACTAAATAAACCCAGTTCCCTCAACCTCTCCTCATAAGTCATGTGCCCCACCCCCTACTCATTTTTGTAACCTCCTCTGAACTCTCTCCAATTTGTCCACACCCTTTCTGTAGTGTGGAGCCCAAAACTGGACGCAGTACTCCAGATGTGGCCTCACCAATGCCAAATAGAGGGGAATAATTACTTCCCTCTATCTGCTCACAATGCTCCTATTAGTGAAGCCTAATATGTCATTAGCCTTCTTGGCAACAAGGGCACACTGCTGACTCACATCCAGCTTCTCATCCACTGTAATCCACAGGTCCTTTTCTTACAGTTGGTCCCCAGCCTGTAGCAGTGTATAGGATTCTTCCGTCTTAAGTGCAGGACTCTGCACTTGTCCTTGTTGAACCTCAATAGATTTATTTCGGCCCAATCCTCCAATTTGTCTAGGTCACTCTGGACCCTATCCCTACCTTCCAGTTTATGTATCTCTTCCCCAAGCTTACTGTAATCCGCGAACTTGCTAAGGGTGCAGTCCACTCCATCCTCCAGATCATTAATGAAGATGTTGAACAAAACCGGCCCAGGACCAACCCCTGGGGCACTCAACTTGATACTGGCTGCCAACTAGACATGGAGCTGTTGATCACTACCTGTTGAGCCCAATGATCTAGCCAGCTTTCTATCCATCCTATAGTCCATTAATCCAATCCGTGCTTCTTTAACTTGCTAGCAAGAATACTTTTGGAGACTGTATATAAAGCTTTGCTAAAGTCAAGATATATCATGTCCACCGCTTTCCCCATATCCACATAGAAGGCAATCTGATTGGTCAGGCATGACCAGGGTGACCAGATAGCAAGTGTGAAAAATGGGGACAGAGGGTGGGAAGTAATAGGCACCCATGTAAGAAAAAGCCCCAAATGTCAGGACTCTCCCTATTAAATCGGGACATCTGGTCACCGGAGGCATGACCTGACCTTGGTGAGTCCATGTTGACTGTTCCTGATCACCTTCCTCTCCTCCAAGTGCTTCAAAATGGATTCCTTGAGGACCTGCTCCATGATTTTTCCAGGGACTGCGGTGAGGCTGACCGGTCTATAGTTTCCTGGATTCTCCTTCTTCCCTTTTTAAAAGATGGGCACTATATTTGCCTTTTTTCAATCATCCAGGACCTCCCCCGATTGCAACAAATTTTCAAAGACACTGGCCAATAGCTCTGCAATCACATCAGCCAACTCCCTCACCACCCTCGGATGCATGGCATCCGACCCATGGACTTTTGCCTGTCCAGCTTTTCTAAATTGTCCTTAACCTGTTCTTTCACCACTGAGGGCTGCTCACCTCCTCCCCACACTGTGCTGCCCAGTGCAGCAGTCTGGGGGCTGACCTTGTCTGTGAAGACCGAGGCAAAAAAGGAATTGAGTATTTCAGCTTTTTCTACATCATCCATCACTAGGTTGCTTTCACTGACCTTCTTCTTGTTGCTAACATACCTGTAGAAACCCTTCTTGTTACCCTTCACATCCCTTGTTAGCTGCAACTCCAGTTGTGCTTTGGCCTTCCTGATTACACCCCTGCATGCTTGAGCAATATGTTTATACTCCTCCCTAGTCATGTGTCCAAGTTTCCACTACTTGTAAGCTTCCTTTTGGTGTTTAAACTCACCGTAGATTTCTCTGTTAAGCCAAGTTGGTCACCTGCCACATTTGCTACTCTTTCTGCACATCAGGATGTACTCACCAGTGCCAGGTAGTGTAGGACCATTACCTCCCATGTTTTACATATAACACTCCTATTAATACATCCCAGAATGATACTAGTCTTTTTCACAACTGTGTCAGATTGCTGACTCATATTCAATGTGTGATCCACTAGAGCCTCTAGATCCTTTTCAGCACTACTAGCACCTAGCCAGAGATTCCCCGTTTTGTAGCTGTGCATTTGATTTTTCCTTCCTAAGTGTAGCACTTTGCACTTGTTCTTATTGAATTTCATCTTATTAATTCTAGACCAATTCCTTAACTTTTCAAGTTTGTTTTAAAATCTAATGCTGTACTCCAAAATTTTTGTAGTCCCTCTCAGCCTGA